TTGGGGGAAAAAGGAAACATCTCTACTGAATAGTAGTTAAAAAGGAAGGCTTTTAGAGGACATGAGACTTACCTGTTAGTTTTGTAGAATATCAACTATTATAAATACTAATCTATGGCTTTTAGTATTGTGAAGGACTTCACATTTGGACATGAAACAAAACCTCTCAAAGTTGCCGTTGTAGCTGTAGGACAACTACTCAGCAGTTCGATTCACCAGAGATGGATGCTTAAGAGGTGATGTGGAATCAGCATTTCAAGGGAACTTGTTAAATTCTTTCAGTTCAGTCAATACAGGTACACTTCACTCTTTTGATTACAATGTATGTACAGCACCACATGGCCATCCAAATGACAGTTGCAGAATGCATAGTGCCTGACCCAGAAAATCTGAAGTTTCCCTGCCTTCAAGAATAGAAGAAAAAAAGCCAAGAGGGACTCCCTTCGCCCATCACTTGCCTGTTGTAAGGCACTGATACCCCATATGCTATAAGGCCAACAGGAAACGAATACTGTCACATAGCTCCTCTACAGTCACAGCGAGAGACTGACATATGTATGCTAGGGAGTGGAGGAGAGACAGGAAGTATTCAGGAAAAGATCCTGGTAAAAGGAAAGAGCCCAACAAATGTGAGAAAAGCCTTCCTGCTCCTGCAGAGACATGGACTGCAAAATGCTAGAATCGGGCTTTTTTCCCTCCAAAGAGCTGTTTCAGGCTGCTTGTATCAGAATAAGTATACAGATCAGCTAATTTCTTTTTTTCCTATTAGTGTTTGCCATTTCCCCTCACTGCGCTTATGTCATCACCAGAGTACTTCTTCCTCTAACACTTTCGTTTTGTTTAAGCACTGTCTCCTTCAGCTTCAGGATCTGGCTTTTGATTTGGAACCCAGGAAACATTAAAAAAACCCTCTATTAGGAAATACAAAACTGTATGGATAATTGCAGAGTGAATATACCAGTCATGAGTTACTGCACTGTTCTGGATAATATTTCTGCCACCTCAGATGACGATAATTTTTGCATACCTTTTAGCTCATTGGATCACCTGCAAGCCAGCCTGTCTCACTAGAAAAGCTTGCTGTTCAGCAATAATCACTCACAAACATATGAAGAGGCTCTGCTATCGCATCCATCCATGTACAATCATACCATCTTAGGTAACATGGCAACACAGCACTTAGATAATTAACTATGCCTAAAAGCCTTCTTACAGAGGATTAGGTCTACAAAATTAACGAATCCTGCTTGCTTCCAGACAGTTCATGCAAGCAGTAGGAGAAAATAACCTGCTTTGCTGCCCATGTCAGTTTGGAAAGACCAGATTTATGCATATGATCACGCCACTGGTGACAGCTTAGCATTGCTAAGACTGACAGATGCTCAGCTTTACTAAGAGTCTGTCAATACTGTTTTCCTACCTCTGCTACCTGCCCATGACATCTCATGACAGAATTTGTTCTAGAGGGTAGGATGGTCTGCAGGGTGGGGACTGGAAAAATATTTTTAAAATCTCCCCAGATTATTTTCTAATGCCATTGTTAAAGGAGTGTGAAAGCTGCAGAGTGACCTTAACTCTTCTCCACTTGCTTTTGTCTCCTCTTTTCCTGTCCCCACCCCCCTACGTTAGTCAGACACTTATTTTTAGATAAAGAACAGATAAGCAGAACAATCCATTTCAGGGGCACACATCTTCACCTGTCACCCAGCTGACTGACTGTGACTCCTGTGTCATATGGTGATGACTATTCAGCAGTGAGCTGATCACCTGGACCTACCTGAAGGGAAGAAAATACAATGTCTCAGACAGCATTTTAGAGAGTCCTTTAAAACTGAACTGTTGAGCCAAACAGCTCTGAGTAATTCCCTTCCTTGCCCACTGTTTTAAGAGCATTTTTTAGAACAGAAGCATTAGCAATGCCACAATCTTGTATTGTGCCTTTGTCAGTAGGCTTCAAAGACCTTCAGGTTTTCTCCCCTGCTTCTCAGGTGGAGAAGTGCAAGCTGAGCGGGAATTGTATGGGGCTGGCTGACAGAGTGCAGGTCAACAGACAGCTAAGCCACAGCTCCAGTTCCTAAGTCCAGGGTGCCCACTTTATGTCTAGGTGTGGGCTAGCTTCACACTGGCACAATACTAGCTTCCCCTTTCAGGAAGGTCCTTGGAAACATGCAGGCGTAAGACTGTAGATGGGATGAACAATCCCAGTGTGGTAGACTGTTGCCGTCATCTTTCTCAGGAGCTCAGAGGCAACTCTCTCACAGCATGACTTGAGGCATGACAGAAGAGCACAGAGCCTCCATGAAAAAGGATGAATCTTTTTGTTCTCCGTGGCCCACCCACAGTCTTATTGCTTGGGGGCAGTTAGAGTATAATGAGCATGTCCACATGTAAACCCTATCTGCCTGCATAGAGGGATACTACACATATGTAGGCAAAAGGGCCATGGCACATCTGGTATTAAAAGCAATTATAAGACCCTTTAAGTTGAAGTGTTTGGGGTTTAGGACTCATCTTGCACATAGAAAGTCTAATCCCATCTTCGGGCAGCTGTGGATCAAAACCAGTCCATAGATAAGTGTACGGCATCCACTGGCAACATTTAGACCTGTGTGCCCTTCCCAAGAAGGGGATTTTCCTCACAGTTATCTTCCCTCCTCCACTCCCCCCAAGAATATCTTGAGAATCTAAGTACAGCTTTCTTTTTCCCCCATGATAAGATTGCAATTATGGCTAAGTTCACAGCTCAACTCACTTATGACTGCAAATTGCTGATTAAGGGGAACATCTGATCTGTTTGGAGATATATTTGTGTGAAAGACGCTAAAGAAAAAATAGACTGTAAGAATATTATCATCAAAAGCCATGTATTACACTGTGTTCCAATTAAAAAATATCACAACCAGCAGGCATTCCTACTCCAGCTCCTCCTGAAAGAGGCTACGTTCATTTCTGCATGCCTGCTTTTCCCCTCTAAGGCAGGCTACAAAATCCAATCCCATCCCAAAGCAATGCTCGCAGCTAAAAAC